TGAAGAAAATAAAAGATAACTTTAGGGATATAAAAAAGGTATACCAAATAGTAAATCAGATGATAGGTCGCACGAAGCCCTCAGTCGATCATGCCATTATCAGAGCTTTTGAGTCTCAATGTCTTACAACAAAGGAAATAGCGAATGGTTTTGGTACAGTATTCCATAAATCAGCTAATAAAAATATATCCACTTGTAAAACTAAATTAATTAATGAAAACACTTATCTGAAACCAGTAAATTTAAGCTTACGTTTTAAGAAAGCTACAAGTGATGAGATTGTTAAAATTATTTAATCATTAAATTCTAACAAAGCACCGGGCTATGATAGCATTCGAGTTTCTGATATTAAAATCGTAAAAAACGACATATCTGTGGCTGTAGCAAACCTTGTTAATTGAAGCATAAAAGCCAATACTTACGCAGACGAACTTAAGAAAGGTTGTGTCAGACCAATACAGGAATAATTTAAAACCACTGCGAAGATTTTGTGAAAATAAACTTTAAGTAATTTAAACAAACACGTATTTTTTATTTTGATATGTTCTAATACTAAAAAATAAAGTTATCGCTTATCAAAGATCGAGATTTTAAAACTTAATTTATGGACACCGCGCGCCGTGCGTCAGCTGAGTGCTCGCTCGACGCCGTAAGTATGTACTCGTAGGTATTGTAACAGTTTACTTAATAAACTGTCCTTGTTTTGAATTCTTTTTTTAATACAAATAAATTTAAAGAAAAATATAATTAAAAATAATTGTAGGTACAATGTTAACAATTGTACTAAGGAGGTAGGCAGACATAGGAGCGCAGCGCGGCTTATAATGGTGGCATAGTATTTAAAATGACTTCTCGCGAGTCCAATGGATTCATTGTGATTTGATTATTCCAAATTGTGTGTAAGAGCTAAATAACCCCGAAATCGGGCGAGTGTTCTATTCATTTAATTTTTGCTGCTCGTTTATAAGTTTATTACCTTAGAGTATTTTATTTTTAAAATCACAAGTCCAATAAGTAACTTTTAAATTCTAAATCTGTTTCGCTGTTTTATAATGTTTATTCATTGTTCATTGAATATTATTACTGAGGTAAAAATCCAGTTCTTAACCTAATGTTTGATAATATTTTTATTCTATTTCGATAAAGGTGAAATAGATAGTTATGTTACCCCCTCGCCCTTCTGTATTAGACTAAAGGGGGTTTAGTCAGCACCCTGGATACAATTCCTGTGAATACGTGGGCGTCGCTGTCTGGCCCTCTTGGACAGTTTTTATTAAGAATAAATCATTCTTTTGCTAGCCTCCAAATCGGCAGCACCTAGTATTAAGGCTTAGATTTAATTTTCTGTATTTTTATATTTTTTTAAAAATAAAGTTTGAGCTCCCAAAATTTGACTGGCGCAGCCGGTAGGATTCGCTTAAGGCTGCGTCGCTTTTTCATTAAAATACGGGTGTCCAAATTCGCCTGTATATATATATCTATACATTATAAACAGAGATAGAGAAAAAATTAATAAATATGGTCTTATAATGATAACATAATCATTTAATAATAATGGAAACAAGATAATGAGTTTAGAAGTAATCACCTATCCAGTTGCTGGATCATCTCAAGTCCAAGCGTTCTTATCTGTTACATAATCGGATACCTTATAATAAGCTTTTTTAATAAGTATTTTTTTAATAGTAGATTTAAACTGCATGATATCTAATTGTTGTATTTTGCTTGGGACCTTATTGTAGAAGCGCACACAAAGACCCTTGAATGAGTTATTAACTTTTTGCAGTCTAGTGACAGGCACCGTTAATTTATTTTTATTTCTTGTATTAAAATTGTGTACATCACTTTTTATAGAAAACAAACTAATATTTTTACGAACGTACATTAAGTTCTCGTATATGTATTGAGAAGCAACAGTCATAATGTCTATTTCCTTAAATTTCTCCCTTAAAGAGTCCCTAATCCTAAGATTATAAATTGATCTAATTGCTCTTTTCTGAAGCACAAAAATTGTTTGTATGTCGGCAGCATTTCCCCACAATAGGAGTCCGTACGACATTACACTATGAAAGTAACTGAAGTATACTAATCTGGCAGTATCTATGTCAGTTAACCTACGTATTTTCATAACGGCATATGCTGCAGAGCTAAGTCTACTCGACAATCTATCCATATGTGGGCCCCACTGTAGTTTAGAATCTAATGTTATTCCTAAAAGTACTGTGGTATCCACAAGGCCCATGTTCTTATCTTTTATATTAACATTTATATCTACTTTTTTAACATTAGGTAGTACAAATTTTAAGCATTTTGTTTTTCCTTCATTAAGGAGAAGATTATTTACATTAAACCAATGTACTACTTTAGCGATAGAATTGTTCACATCGTCATTTAGAGGTAACCCTCTTTTAATTTTAAACAAAAGTGAAGTGTCATCCGCAAACAAAACTATTTCGTGATCATCCTTTACGAAATAAGGCAAGTCATTTATGTAAATCAAAAACAAGAAAGGACCAAGTATTGAGCCCTGCAGAACACCCATCTTAATTTTCGATCCAGGGGATCTTTTGCCATTGATATCAACCGCCCATACAGGCGCCTGTACTCTGTCAGTCAAGTATGAGACAATAAAATCCAATGAGTTATCTCTAAATCCATAAAAATGCAGTTTCCTAATCAATGTTTCATGAAAAACACAATAAAATGCCTCAGATAGGTCACAGAAAACACCTAACGCATCATGTGAATCCTCCTAGGCATTAAAAATTTCTTGTATTAACTCGACACCGGCTTCGGTTGTCGAGTGACCCCTTGTAAAACCAAATTGTTGTCGATTCATAAGCTTATTCTTGTAAAAGTACGTTTGTATTTGATCCAGCATGATTTTTTCAAAAATCTTACTAAACGTAGGTAGCACGGATATAGGTCTAAAGTTATTAGGGTCAGATGTGCTACCCGATTTATGTATTTCATGAGCTCTGGAAAAATACCACAATCAGTACATTCATTAAATATATATGCTAAGATTGGAGCTATTGTCTCAATTACCGATTTAGAAACTTCAATGGAATTACCCCATAAATCAGCGGTTTTCTTTTTCTTTAGCTGATTAAAAGATTTTATTATATCTTTAAAATCAATGTGTTGAAACTTAAATTGGCTATTACAATTATTTTGTGGTGTATTATGACACAGTTAATAACGTCGCTTATCGTGAACGAACGTATTTTTTTTAAATAAACCCGATCCGAATATCAGATGGCGACCCTGCCAAGCGGGCCATAGAGTGTAAATAATATACGGGACGCGAGCGCACGCGCGCCGCGCGCCGGGCGGCGGCGTGCGCCGCGCAATGCCGGGCCGAGTGCCCATAAAAACTAATTTAAAATAAAAATTGAACAATAAATTTTTCCATAAAAGTGTTATATATATATGAACTATACTGTGAAACATAATTATGTGAACAATGTACTATAAATAAAATATATATTATAATTAATTTAAACACATGCATTCGTCCCCAACATTATTATTAAATAAATAATTAACTATAAAATATGTTAGTGACATATAACGTTATGTAAATAATAACGCACTATAAAAATGGGTGTGTTCGAGATAACCCCCGATACGAATTACGCAAATCAAGAAGTGCAAAATAATTCTAATAACAGTGTGAACATTATCATAACTAATGAATATTTACTGATAACAATTCTAGTGATACTTGGTATTTTATTATTGATCGGAGCAATCGCAATATGCAGAATTTTATATAGAAGACATATCGAAAGAATTGTACAGATAAGAACATTGAGAAATCAGGTAGAAAAACTGACTCAAGAGAATAACGAAGAGAATAGACTATAAAGCGATAATATAAAGCGATGATAATATAAAAAAAAAGTTAGAGAGCAGCCGGGAGAAGTTCGTGTCCAGTAGAGCTGCTGGGAGCTGTTCCTGACCTGTAGAGCTGCCGGGAGTTGTCCGAGTCTAGGATCGAGATATGTTCGAGATAAGGCGAGATATAAAGTTTATTTAAAAGTGACGAAGTGAATTAATAACGGTATATACTCAGTGAAATATAAGTTTTAGATGCGACGAACCGGGAAGATGATTTTATAAAGTAGAGAAGATTCTATTAATTATATTAATATTAAGAATTTAATTTGAAAAGATATGTTATAATATTTCATATTATAATAAATGTCATACGATATCGAGTAATATCTAAATAATGTGATCCGTAAAAGTTTCCAGAAACGGCCACGCCACCTTTTATGCCGCATCTCTTCTAGGTGTGGTTACCGGCCTTTTATGTTATATAATAAAGTGGCACACATATATATAAAACAAATATCTATTTAATCAAAGACGACCTTGCCTAAGAGCATGTGTTGCAATATTTTCTTTTTTTTACATGTAATTATACAGCGTGTGTGGTAATACCTGTATAATCCCGAAACATGGCCATACAACCTAGTACAAAGAACACAATTGATAGGTCAAAAAACAATTTCATGTAAATTGATATTTTCATACAAATATTTGAACAATTTGTTTTCAATTACTATGCTACAACCCTGTAAGCTTACACGTGCCGTCACGGCGCACTCGCTCTTCCTCTCTCTCTCTCTCTCATTACCTCTCACTCTCTCGTTTCCTTGAATACATTTTGATGTTGCCGACGCGCGCACTCGACTACGTATGAGTTTACTTGTAATTAAAACAATTTAAGATTAAATAGGTACATACCTATAGCGTTCTAATCACTCTTTCAGCTTTCACTTGTCAACATTACCTACACTTCACCTCCACTTTATCAGAGCAGGGTTTTTCTTCAGGGGGTAGTTCATGAAATCAGTTGAAATTTTAAAAACTCTCCAGTTAAAAATTCATTAAATACCAGATAACTTACTTTAATGACTAAACTTGCATGTTAACATCATAATTTACCCGCTGAAGTGTTATCTCCATTTCACTGATACTATTTAAGGAACATGGAACACATGGAACAACTACAGGGTACACTTTCACATTTGATGGTGGAATTCCAGAGTCGTATGTCCAGTTTTGAAGCTGAACTGCAGAAGGCGCCTAATCCATCGGCCACAGCTTCGGGTCTGGCCACAGAATTTGCGACATTCAAAAGCTTCATTTTGGATACATTAAATTCACTTCAGTCGCAAATTCACATTCTAGCCAAATCCTTGGACAAGCTTGAAATGCACAGTCGTAGAAAGATCCTGCTGTTGCATGGTGTACAGGAGCTGGAAGGTGAGGACCCCTCACAGATTGCAGTGAAGACGGTATCAGAGAGGCTGATGAGTGAATTTGCACTACAACACATTAAACGGTGCCACAGGATGGGTCGTGTGAATAATAGTAGCAGACCTCGTCCTATTATTATTAAATTTCATGATAAGGTCATCCGTGACAAAATCTGGTTCAGCAAATCCAGGCTTAAAGGCACAGGCACAACTTTGTCAGAGTTCTTGACTCATTCTCGTCACAACACTTTCATGGCGGCGCGGGAGAGATTTGGCGTGAACAAATGCTGGACACAGGAAGGCACCATTCATGTTCTCGGCATTAACAACACACGGCATCGTATTACTACCATCGCCGAGCTGCAGTCACTGGAGCCTGAGCCAGCAAAACCTGCTGCTGCAACTAAGCTTGCCCCGAAGGCCAGGAGAGTGATAACCGGGAAGAAATAATGTAGATCGTAATCGTGAGTTATTGTTTTGATTTCGTCGATACCAACTCAACTTCAATCATTTATACAAACTCTTTGTTTTTTGTAATACTACTCACTGTGACGATATAGTTTGTTCTACCTTCTTTTTAAACGCTTTTTTTTAGCTATTAATGTTTGTTGTTATCTATGTTCAAAACCTGTCTGTCAAATGTCAATTAATTTCATACATCTTTACATGTGAAGGCAATGGAATCGATGTCATTCAGCCATGTCTTTAAATATTTATGCCATTGTTTATTATTTGTTTTTATTTAGATGATGTATAAATTACGTATATGTTTTATGTTCCTATAATCTTTATTTCTTTGATAACCACTGAGATTTTATAATTGGTATGGTATACTTGTAAACACGGGCGGGTGATTATGGTGTTTCAATAAGCTTGATATATTTTGGCATATCACTTGTTTAATTGAGATTATTTTCTATTTTATTTTATATATATATTATTTATAATATTATTATTATTGTTATTAGTATTTGATTATTTTGATGTCGTTATTAGATGAAGATAGTGACACTAACGATTATGAGTCTGCGACTGATAGCAACAGTGATAGTTTTGTTAGCATTCCTTCACTGTCGGACTCTCTTCATTCATATTTCTCTGATGTTCCAAAAAATTTTAATGTCGTTCACATAAATGCCCAAAGTATTCCGGCCCATTTTTCAGATATGCTGACAAGTTTTGACTGTAAGAACATCCATGCTATCCTTGTGTCTGAATCGTGGCTTAAGCCTTGCCTTCCTTCATCTTTCTATTCGCTGCCAGGCTTTAATCTCATAAGGAATGATCGTGCTATTGGTGGCGGGGGTGGTGTCGCTGCATATATCCGTGCAAATATTCCTTTCTCAGTGATTGATATTTCAGCACAGCCGCCAGCAGCCGATGTTGGCGAGCATCTTTTCCTGGAGGTCGAGCTGAGGCACTCTAAAATTCTTTTAGGCGTGTACTATAGCCCATCTTCCCGAAATAACTTCTTTTCTTCTTTTGAAAATAAATTGGAGCTTCTTTGTCCTTCTTACAGTCACACTATAATCATGGGAGACTTCAACACTTGTCTCCTCAAAAATGACTCCCGTGCGGCAACATTTCGAACAGTTCTGCAATCAAATAATTTGCATGTCCCAAATCTCAATGCTACTCATCATTTTCCCAATTGTTCTCCTTCTCTTCTAGATCTATGATGATCGTCTCTTCTCCTCAACACATTGCTAAACATGGGCAATTCCCTGCTGACGCCTTCTCGTACCATGACTTAATTTCTCTCTCTTATAAGGTTCGTCCACCGAAGGCCAAGCCAACAATTCTGTTACAGCGCAATTTTGGTGGTATTAATCTTGACAATCTCCGCGAGGATGTCATTAACGTGGATTGGTCACAGCTCCTTGATTGTGACACGGTAGATGGTAAGCTTGAGTTGCTTATGTCGAATCTCATGACACTTTATGATGTCCACGCACCGATTCATCCGGTCAAAATGAAGCATCGTCCATCACCATGGCTCACGGAAGAAATAAAACAATTATCCAAGCGTAAAGTTGCAGCCAAAACCAAATATAAATGTCAACCTACTCCATCCAATTGGGAAAAATATGTGAATCTCCGCAATCAATGCAATAAGGTGTGTAGGAATGCACAACGCCAATTTATTCATAACTCTGTTGAAAATGCAGATCCAGCAAAGGTCTGGAAATTTCTGAAATCCATGGGCATTGGCAAACAACGTCATACATCTTCGACAACCGCTTTAGATATTAATCTGCTGAATAAAAGCTTCTGTTCTTCATGTGATTTTGATTCAGCAAAGAAGTTGAATACTTTGAATCTCCTTTCATCTCTTCCATGCCCTAATTATCCAACTTTTTCTCTTTGTCAATTTTCCGACTGTGATGTTAAGAAGAGCATTATGTCAATATCATCTGGGGCTGTGGGTAGTGACTGTGTTAGCCGGAAGATGATTCTCCTTGTCCTAGATGAAGTCCTACCACTCATAACGCATATCCTCAACCACTCCATAAGCACTGGGGTTTTCCCAACGGCTTGGAAAGATACTCATATCATTCCGTTACCCAAGAAGCCCAAGCCGTTGTCCTTTACTGACTATAGACCCATCTCTATTCTACCTTTCCTTTCCAAAGTTCTAGAGCGTCTTGTTTATAATCAGTTGACCTCTTTCCTTCACAAGAATCACCTCCTCAATCCCTATCAGTCTGGATTCCGTGCCGGGCATAGTACTACAACTGCTTTGGTGAAAGTTACCGACGACATCCGATCAGGTATGGAAGAAAAAAAAATTACGATTCTGTGCTTACTTGATTTTAGCAACGCTTTTTCCACTGTAGACTTTGATATCTTGCTCGGCTTACTAAGCTCTCTTAACATATCTCCAGTGGTCATTGACTGGTTTCGTAGTTACCTGTTTGGACGCCGACAGCGAATACGCATTGGAGATTCTTTCTCTACTTGGTGTGATGTTTCTGCTGGGGTGCCTCAGGGTGGCGTTCTTTCTCCATTACTTTTCGCTATATTTATTAATTCAATTTCCTATCAGTTAATTTCATCTTACCACCTCTATGCAGATGATTTGCAAATATATGTGCAAACCCGTCTTGATCAAACCGCTCAAGCCATTAGTATTATTAACGATGATTTAAATTTGATTTGTGGTTGGAGTAAATCATATGGATTGAAAGTGAATCCTCTTAAGACAAAAGCTATTATAGTTGGCAACTCCACATTGACCAATAAGATTAATTATGCACAGCTACCAGCCATCATATTCGACGGTGTTCAGATTACTCTTTGTGAGAGTGTTAAAAATTTGGGGATATTGATTGATACAAATCTTACTTGGGGATTTCAAATGGAAGAATTGAGTCGTAAGTTGTTTGCTGCAGCAGGTTCCTTAAAAAGACTTAGAAATTTTCTTCCATTGGCCACTAAAATTGCGCTGGCACAGTCTGTACTCCTCCCAATCTTAGATTATGCCGATGTCAGCTATCTAGACCTTACCGAAGAGCAGTTAAATAAACTTGAGAGACTTCAAAATGTTTGTATTAGATTTATATTTGGTTTACGCAAATATGATCATGTTTCCGATTTCCGTGCTAAGCTCAAGTGGCTGCCAATTCGTCTTCGCCGGAATGCACATATTGTTTCCCTTCTTTACAGTATTCTGTTCAATCCTTATTCACCGGTTTATCTTTCGGAACGTTTTAAATTCCTTCACAACACGCACGTTAGAGTTTTGAGGTCATCGGAGAATTTGAAGTTATCAATACCAATGCATGCAAGTAAATTCATGAATAAATCATTTTCAGTCCAAGCGGCCTGTCTTTGGAATGCATTGCCAGAGGTTATCAGACGCGCACAAAGCATACACGTTTTTAAAAGACTGGTTAAAGAGTACTATCTATCACTCACCTTGAATCCTTAATCTCCTTTATCTATGTAGGTATATGCTATATGTATGTATATTATATGTATGTATGATTTATTGTTTTTGTGGTATTTATTACTTAATTCATTTATTAAATATATGTATATATATATATTTTTTCTCTACTAAAGTTTTGAGACACCATAAGCTACCCAAATTTAGATTCAATTTTTTTTTCCTGTACGCAAAGGTTGCCTGGAAGAAATTACTTTTTAGTAATAAGGCCGCCAATTGTGCATTAAATTTAATTGTATTCGATTGTTTTGTCCTGTATTGGTGTACAATAAAGCATATTTCATTCATTCATTCATTCATTCATTTCATTCATTCATTCATTCATTCATTCATTCAGGGTTTCGATATGCCGGCCACCGCATAAAACATACATCTCCATTCGACTCGACACAGACCGTGTCGTGTTACTCTCGACGTAAAGTCATATCCTCTGTCTCGATGGAATAGGTGATCGGCCGGCCTACCTGTGGCACACTATGGAATGAACCAGTTGTATGTAACCAATTCACAAATGCCGCGAATCACCGGTAAGAAGGAAGACGTCGATGGTTTTCAGGTCTTCCTGACACGTGGCGCTCGTCATAACGCCGCCGAGCCGCAGCAAGATTACCGTCACAAGCACCGCCACACATTATCATCTCGTAATATTAGGCATTTGAGTACGAATTCATTGCACTGACCGCACACAAACATAATACACAGGTAAACAGAACGAGAATGAAAAACAAACCAAAAGTCCCGAAAGAACGAAAACGTAAGTTGACCTTCTAAATTCTGAAAACTCACAAGTACGCCGATGAAAGTCACGGACGCGACTGACGCGATGACCAAAACTACATAGGTTATTATTATTGCAACTCGAACACCAATGTACCTAAATCAAAAGTGTACCGATTTTGGGGTTCCGCGTCAAGAAATATTATTTATTATTAGACCTTTCCATTACAACTAACCTTTATTTAATTATCATTTAAACTAAGAATAAGAGAGATACTTAGATTATTAATATCATTGTATAAGTCCGTATTTTATTGTTTCGTGAAAATAACACGGATTTATGAAAAAAATAACAAAACTTCAAAGCAAATAATCTACAGAACCTTACTGACACATCAGAAACCCGAGTTTCTCAATACACATTGTCGTCGATTTTATGTCTCTCTCGCTCCTTTTTGCATAGACTAGTGTGAGCAATGGTGCAGATATTGAACTTCAATCAAAGTATTTGCAATTTCTTTTTTATTTTGACTGTATTATTACAGAAGTTTTCATATTAATAGTTTTTGAAACACCGTTAATCACAAGATTAGTGTTTTTTTATAGTTAAAAGTCATTTACTACTAACTTTTTCTTTGTTTGGAAATAATAAATTCCTCTCAGATGCATATTCATTCTAGGCATTTATCTTTAGATTTATTTAACTTCTGTTATTTTTTAAACTAGTTCGGCACATGGAGTCGATGACCAAATACAACACAACAGCTGTTTTTAGGGTTGTCAG